AGAGAGAGAGAGAGAGAGAGAGAGAGAGAGAGAGAGAGAGAGAGAGAGAGAGAGAGAGAGGCTCCGTACACTCATGATGGGGGTGTGTGTTCTTCCAGAGGTCACGATATGCTGGAGTCGCCCGAAAACAAATTTGCGCGGCAGTTTCAAGATTTTCCACTGTTGGGGGGCTGGGTCCTTTTTGTCCCCCCAGCTATTTTTTTCTTTTTCTGGGGGGGAGGGCTATTTCCGCAGGTGTGGCGCATCCGTTGCTCGCGTCTCATGTGCTGGTCGCTGTGTGCCACACGAGCGCAATGCAGTGCATCTTGTTGTGCTGCATGCTATGTCGAATGATGTCGCACCCCTTCTCTCTGGGGCTGGAAACGAACGGCGCGGCCCTCCTTTTGGCTGGCGCCACCAGCCATTTTGCTCCGGAGGCTGAGCCCCGGAAGTTGCGCCTATATAAGCCGCATACTAGTTCATAGCGGGGAAACTTACTGGTGGTTTAAGCCCGTTCAAACTCCAATCACACCCATAGACACCCTAGAGTAAGTGATCATTTGAACACAACCAATCTGCATTGCACCATGAAAAAAGAGTAATTCTCCAAGACAAGATCGGAGAAACGCGATCGAACCATGCAACCATGCACAACTCGTGGAATAAACAAACGATCACTGACAGGACGGGAAAGGAAAAAACAAGAATATGCCGAAACACGGTGCTACCTGACCACCCAAGCACCAGCGGTCCACCGTTGTGCAGTCGTCGAGGACACTAGAGATCATCACCCCGCTAACCCGATCAGCATGCCAGGTTCACGCAAACCTCATAATCCATTGTGGCGACTACCAACCCCACTTGCTTCGTGGCCAACGTGTCAGGACTCTGCGGCTCGCCAATAGACCATGGGAAGCTGGGCGATCAGCCTGTTCTGGCTGCTCACTGAAAAAGCACAGAGTGAGAAAAATGTGCTTGCAAGCTTTATAGAAGTGGGGGAGAGATGTCCTTCGGGACATCCGTTGAAATTGGAACGATGCAGAGAAGATTAGCATGGCAAAAAAAAAAAAAAAAAAAAGTGGGGGAGAGAAAGATGCATGTGTGAGATGGGGGAAAGATACAAACAGGGAACGGCCTGAGGTTATGCGTAATCGAGCTTGGTGTGGGGTACGTGGCCTTGCCTCTCTCTGTACAGTGATCCGACATGCTAAGCAATCTGCTCGACTGGGGATGGGGAAGGGAATGAAGGAATCAAGTTTTCAAGGGGGAGGAGAGGATGAGGAGGATGAGGAGGAGGAGGAGGAGGAGGAGGGATAGGCAGGAAGAGCATGGGAGGAAGGGGAAAGGGGAAGACGGTTGAAAGATTGTGAGAAGATGCAAGAACGTTAAACACACTGGGCGTAAGCAGCAAGAAACTGTGCACGAATTTAGGCAAGAAATCGAGAAGATGTAAGACAGTAAAAGTGATGGAAGTTTGTCAGGCGAACTGCCGAGGAAGAAGACTGGCACTGCCTTGATTTGGATGTGCGGACCTGCGCGCAAAGGAAATAAGAAAGTGGCCCGAGGTTGCTAAGGCTCAAAAGCCAAATTTCCAATCTATCCTAACTGCAAATGAAATGGAAACAAAAAGGAAGTTGTAACAAATTTGCGAAGTCCAAGCGGCATTCAAATCATTTAGAGACCCCTAGTATACAATCCCTGCATAAACCTGACAAGAAGGCGCACCAAAAAAATGTTTCCCCCCAAAAAAAAGAGATCGTCACATATGTGGCCAGTTCAAAAATTGTGCGAGCTCCCGATTGGGTGCACTGAAGCAGAATTCCTTCATCAACAGAAGTACGGGGAGAACATGTTGTTATCATCGACAAAATAAAGGGCAGCGTCTTCATTGTCAACTGGTCCGGAATTTTATTATTCACCATTTCAACAGAAAGAACGAGAATTGAGAACAGAAAAAGAAAGATGCAACTGTGCTCCTCTTTCTGATAGGTGATATCGGGGGGATCCGATCATTGTCAAAGACGCCATGACCATCACTCGTCAGCATCTGGCCCCTTGTTTGATAAAATCAATAAAGCTCTTTGTTATTTGCCGAGCACCAGGCAAAACTAAGCAAGAGGGCATGCAAAAGGAAAGGACCGGGGATTTGCTGGAGAATATATTCCCTTGAGGAGGAGGGGGAGGAGGAGGAGGAGGAGGGGGACCACAAAACTGTATAAACTTACTATAAAACTATAAACATGACGATGATAAAGACATCATGCAGTATGAACTGCAATTATCATCAAACCATTTACATTAAAAAAAAAATATACAATCACTTAAAATATCACATAGAACTTGATAGAAGAGCAGGGTTGCATACCCGCTGGCCGTTTTGCAGCCTACCGGTAGGCGCGACTGGTCAGCGGTCTGCCGACCAGTCGGTAAACAGCCATCCACTTATTTTGTTTTGTCTGACTATGGGGCTGTACTGTGCTTGCTGAGTACAGCCCAATGCAGATGGGAAACTCTTGGGGGGATTAAAGTGGGCGTATAGGGGGGTATCGGGGAGCATAGGGGTGGGATATGGGGTATTTGGGGGGGGGTATGAGGGTGTTGAGGGGCGGTTTCAGGGTGTTGGGGGGTTGTACGGACGTGTTGG